TGTCCCAGGTCATGATATTGTCCAGTGGAGGCAGGAAACTACACATACACATTTCTCTATTTTTGAATATAATTTGCTCTTAGTATCATACTGAGATAACAGTTCCAGGCAGATACCCCCCAAAAGGGGAAGGACCCCCTGCCCTCTCAGACAGAGGGGGATGGCCCGAGACAAATCCTGCCCTGTAGCTGTTGCACAGAGGTAGGGGACGAAAAAGACGACGAGGGCTGGAAGCGAGTTCCAGTTCGGCGTCGTGGGAAACCCTCCTCCCTTCCTGCCCTGCTTCCCCAGGTGTCCCTCCGTAATAGGTTCGAGGCCCTGGATCTTGAAGGAGAGGTAGGTGAGAATGTGGGGCAAGGCCAGCCTGCAAGGCCAGCCTTCAAGGCCACATAGGAAAAGGCGGTCAACTTTGCACCTCAAGACTGCCTCTGATAAGAAAGAAAGAAGGGTCATTGTAGTAGGGGATTCCCTTCTGAGAGGAACAGAGGGCCCGATATGCAGAGTTGACCCTCATCATAGGGAAGTGTGTAGTCTGCCTGGAGCCCGGATCAGGGATATCACTAGGGCGCTCCCCAACCTGGTGCACCCGACAGGCTACTACCCACTGCTGGTCTTCCAGACAGGTGGGGAGGAAGCTGCTTCCCGCAGTCTGAGGGGGATGAGAAAGACTACAGGGCCTTGGGGCGGATGGTGAAAGAGTCTGGGGCTCAAGTGATCTTCTCCTCACTCATTCCATCTTCCACTGATGATGTGGGAAGGAATGGGAAGATTCAGTTCATAAACAATTGCCTTCGAGACTGGTGCTGCAGGCAGGGCTTTGGATTCTTTGATAACAGCTGGTTTTATAGGGCACCAGTCTGGACAATGACAAGTGGGAAAGGTTTATCTCACAGAGGCAAAAGGATACTGGGGCACGAATTAGCAGGGCTCATTTGGAGAGCTTTAAACTAGATTCAAAGGGGGATGGGGTTGTAGCTGGGCTTGCCCCAGTGGGGCAGCACTCCAGAATTGATGAAGAACGGGAGGCCTCCTATAATCCTAGGGAGAAATCGGTGTGCTCAGCTCGCTCCCTGGAATGTCTGTACACCAATGCACGCAGCATGGGAAATAAGCAGGAGGAGTTAGAAACCTGTGTTAAGTCAGGAGACTATGATCTGGTGGCAATTACAGAGACGTGGTGGGACAGCTCACATGATTGGAATATAGTCATGGAGGGCTATGTCCTTTTCAGGAAAGACAGGCCAGCCAGGCGGGGTGGTGGGGTTGCTCTTTATGTGCGGGAGCAACTACAATGCACTGAGTTCTGTCCAGGGACAGATGACGAGCGAGTTGAGAGTCTGTGGGTGAGAATTAAGGGGCAGGCTGGCAGGGGCGATATTGTTGTGAGTGTCTGTTACAGACCACCGGATCAGGGTGAGGAAGTCGACGAGGCCTTCTACAGGCACCTGAGAGCGGCCTCACAGTCACAGGCTGTGGTCGTCGTGGGGGATTTTAACTTCCCTGATGTTTGCTGGAAGGACCACTCGGCAACCCAGCCGCAGTCCAGGAGTTTCCTCCAGTGTATGGATGATAACTTCCTCCTGCAAATGGTGGATGAGCCGACCAGGAGAGGAGCGCTGCTGGATCTCATCCTCACTAACAAGGAGGATCTGGTCAAAGCAGTAAGGGTTGAGGGCTGCCTTGGTTGCAGCGACCACAAGATGGTGGAGTTCAGGATCTTGTGCGGTAGGACCAGTAGAATACCAAGTAGAATTGCAACCCTGGACTATAGCAGGGCAAACTTTGTCCTTTTCAAGCAATTGCTAGGGGAAATCCCATGGGCAAGGCTGCTTGAAGGTAAAGGGGCCCAAGATAGTTGGTTGGCATTCAAGGATTGCTTTTTCCGAGCTCAAGATCGGAGCATCCCGACACGTAGGAAGTCAAGGAAGAGGGCCAGGAGATCTGCATGGCTAAATAGGGAATTGCTCGGTATGCTCAAGTGGAAGAGGAGAGTTTAGAGGTCATGGAAGGAGGGGCTGGCCACTTGGGAGGAATATAAGGCTGCTGCTAGAGGATGTAGGAAGGCAGCTAGGATGACTAAGGCCTCCTTAGAATTAAACCTGACGAGAAGGGTCAAGGACAGCAAAAAGAGCTTTTTCAAATACATGGCAGACAAAACTAACACCAGAGGCAATGTAGGCCCACTGATGAACGGGATGGGTGCCCTGGTGACAGAAGATACAGAGATGGCAGAGTTACTGAATGCCTTCTTTGTCTCTGTCTACTCTGCTGCAGGCAGTCCTGAAGAGCCCTGTACCCCTGAGACCTTAGATGAAGTCAGGTCGACGGAGCGGTTTGCCTTAGTCGATGAGGAATGGGTTAGAGACCAGTTGAGCAATCTGGACATCCATAAATCCATGGGTCCAGATGGGATGCACCCGCGGGTGCTGAGGGAACTGGCAGAACTCATTGCTAGACCACTCGCCATCATCTTTACCAAGTCTTGGGAAACGGGAGAGGTGCCTGAGGACTGGAGGAAAGCAAATGTCACTCCAGTCTTCAAAAAGGGCAAGAAGGAGGACCCGAGTAACTATAGACCGGTCAGCCTCACCTCCATCCCTGGGAAAGTGATGGAACACCTTATCCTTGGTGCCATCTTAAGGCATATCAAGGATAAGAGGGTTATGAGGGGCAGTCAACATGGCTTCACCAAGGGGAAATCATGCTTGACCAATCTCTTAGGCTTTTATGAGGAAATAACACGGTGGATGGATGATGGCAGAGCGGTGGATGTGGTCTACCTTGACTTCAGCAAAGCATTTGACACAGTCTCCCACAGCATCCTCACAGCTAAAGTGAGGAAGTGTGGTCTGGATGATCAAGTAGTGAGGTGGACTGCGAACTGGCTGAAGGAGAGAAGCCAGAGAGTTGTAGTCTATGGGGCGGAGTCTAGTTGGAGGCCTGTAACTAGTGGAGTGCCTCAAGGGTCAGTACTGGGACCAGTATTATTTAATATATTCATCAATGATTTAGATGAGGGAATTGAGTGTACCATCAGCAAGTTTGCTGATGACACTAAGCTGGGAGGAGTGGCTGACACGCCAGAAGGCTGTGCTGCCATCCAGCGAGACCTGGACAGGCTGGAGAGTTGGGCAGGGAATAACTTGATGAAATATAACAAGGGAAAGTGTAGAGTCCTGCATCTGGGCAGGAACAACCCCAGGTTCCAGTATAGGTTGGGGAACGACCTGTTAGAGAGCAGTGTAGGGGAGAGGGACCTGGGGGTCCTAGTGGACGACAGGATGACCATGAGCCAGCACTGTGCCCTTGTGGCCAAGAAGGCCAATGGCATCCTGGCGTGTATTAGAAGGGGGGTGGTTAGTAGGTCGAGAGAGGTCCTCCTTCCCCTCTACTCTGCCCTGGTGAGACCCCATCTGGAATATTGTGTCCAGTTCTGGGCCCCTCAGTTCAAGAAGGACAGGGAGCTGCTGGAGAGAGTCCAGCGCAGGGCAACAAAGATGATTAAGGGAGTGGAGCATCTCCCTTATGAGGAAAGACTGAGGGAGCTGGGTCTCTATAGTTTAGAGAAGAGGAGACTGAGGGGTGACCTTATTAGTGTCTATAAATATATAAAGGGGGAGTGTCACAAGGATGGAGCCAGGCTCTACTCAGTGGCAAACAATGACAGGACAAGGGGTAATGGGTACAAACTGGAACACAAGAGGTTCCACTTAAACTTGAGAAGAAACTTCTTCTCAGTGAGGGTGACGGAACACTGGAACAGGCTGCCCAGGGAGGTTGTGGAGTCTCCTTCCCTGGAGACATTCAAAACCTGCCTGGACACATTCCTGTGTAACATTATCTAGGTGTTCCTGCTCCGGCAGGGGGATTGGACTAGATGATCTTTTGAGGTCCCCTCCAATCTCTAGCATACTGTGAAACTGTGTGAGATTTAAGAGTTCATTTTCTGTTTGGCAGAGGTGGGCTTTGGAGATTCTCAAAAACTTAATCATTTTAAAACAGTATGTTATGCTACCAAAACAATACTAGTGTGGGTGATACGTAACTGCGGAAAATATTTCTTGTACCCATACAAGCTGCATCAATGATGTGTCTGCCCATGAGGGAAATACACCTTACCTTTAATCTTGATGGTATGATTGATACTATATTAGGAAATCTTACCAGAGCAGCTCTGTTGGTCAGAAATTGCACTTCACCTCATCTTTGGCTGATAGAGCTAAGGAAAAAAATGTGTGCAGAGATGTAACTGGCTCAAATGAGAACTTAAATATTTCAGCTGTTTGATCCTGTAGAATATGAATTTCCCTTTAACTCTACTTTTCCATGATTACTGCTGTGCACTTACCCAGAGGCTGATGAATGCTGATTTTCAAAGCTGCTATGCCACGCCATCATCAGTTGCTAAAGCTTTTGCTTAGTATTATTTTATTAGTATTTTGTTTAGTATTATTTGCTTTGTATTGCTATAATACAAAGACCAATTTGTCAGATTCTGACAACTATATAAAAATTCCCAACTGCTGGTTTAAACATCCTTAGGCACCTGGATTTTAAAATTATTCTAGTTTACCTTCTTCCCTTAAATTCAGCATATAGTCTGCCAGTCTGAATAGTACGCAATTTAACAGGTCATTTCAGACTGAGAAACTGAGAAAATAAAAATACCCAGTAAGCCCTATTTCATTATTACAAACAATACTGCCAATATCTAGTTAAATAACTGTGGCAAAAAGCCCTGCCTCAGAAGTCTGTAACCTTCTGTAATTGTTTGGGTTGGCATGTAATTGTTACTGATGGGAAAGCATGCACTGTTCATGGACATACTTGTTGTATGGTTCAGGGTAACTGTATGTGTTATGAGTTACTGGTACATAAAACATCTGCTCTACTGGATCTTAAGAATATTTGCAACTTTTATGCATTGAAGCAGTGGCTTATTCCTAGATGTTGTACAACTTGCAAAGACCTTGATGCTAACAAGATTAATTTTCTTTCAGCATTACATCTGGCATTCAGATGGTCAAGGAATAAAACCTCTCCTTTGAAACTTACAAAACACTTCTGATTTAATCAGTCACCATGAGCAAGAATGCCTGTAGTGCACGTGGGAAGAGCAAAAATGTGAGTAGAAAACTTTCTTTTTCTTGTTTCTATTTCATTATCAGTATTCTTCCATACTACTTATGTGTTTTGTTAGTCTTCCAAATACCACTTTCTGAGTATAACAGTAGTTGTGTTAAAATCTTTGTTAGTTATACCCCATTCTTGTACCTGCAGCCTAAGTAAATATGTATGGGTGACTTACACATACAAAGATAACATTATTTAATAGGAGCATGTTTTGGGGTAATTTTTTTGTAATTGAGACTTTTTTCAGAGTGTATTTTATACAGCATTATTAAAAGTGATTTCTTTTTCTTAAACATTCATTGCAATGTGATATACATATTATCTGTAACGTACTCAGTCATAAATATATGCCCCTGCACTGATATTAGTATCACAAATTGCACTTCACTCAATTTGACAATGCATTGTTGACTGTGCAATTTTCCATGAGATCAGTGAGAAAATATGCTAATCATATATTCATAGATTTGAATAAGACTTAATTTTGTTTAGTTTCTGGCTTTTGTGGTGTTCTTTTGTCCCATACGTGTATGCATGTCTCCCAGTATCCAACAGTACTATTGAAAGAGAGGTTTCAGGTGCTGAATGTGTGGTATTATATGACAACGACTGCCTTTCAGGCACAGACAACACTAAATGCTCCTTTCTATTATGCTACTACTATATTTAAGCTGTTGAATTTCCCCTTTCTCCTAATGGACAAGGACACTTTATTTAAGTGCTTTGAAAAGTGGTAATAGGAAAGGAAAGTTCTAGTGTGCATGTACAGGGACACTGAATCTACAAAGACAAAGAATACAGTTACATTATTTGTTTTCTGAAGGAATCCTACCTTATATGTAAGCAGAATTCACTTGAGAAATGTTCCACATCACTCTGGATTCAGACTTTTTAAACTTTTCATGAACATCTTCCACCTTGTCCTATAATGAAATCAGAAAGGCTGTCTCTGTGTTGTTGCCGTTAATGCCTTGGTGTGTCTGCTTCCTTCTTGCCTTTGCTGCCTACATCTTTCAATCCAGTGGTGTTGGTTGTTGGACCAAGAAGATGAGCTTAGTCAACTTCATCCAGAATTACTCAAGTTTCTGTCAGGTATGGGAAGGGAGACATCTCTGGTCAGCCCTGATGACGAGCTTTCTGAATCTGGCAGGCTCTAGCTGCTTGAGCTCCTGGCTATTGGCATTGCTCTTCTTGGCTTATTCTTAAAGATTTCTTAAAAAAAAATATTAATCTCTATGTAGAGAAGTTTTTCTATCCTGTTATTTTACTGTACATGATATCAGAATATGTATGTACAGCCATAGGGGAAAAGTGACAGAAGTAAGCTAAATTCATCATGATGCCATGGTTGGACATGTGGATCAAATAAACAGCCTGATATATCTCAATAAAATGAAGATAGATATTCAGAGTGCTTAATAAATCTTCACTGCTGATGTTGTCTGACCTCCTGAGCACTAGGTAAAGTGTGAGACTCTCCATAACATTTTTAAAAGACTGAAAAGCATAAAATATCAAGGTTAGCTGATATAATGAGATTTGGTCAAATTAAGGGGAAACGTTTTTTCAATTTAAGTTAACTGAATGCTTTTTTATGCTAATCTTTATTAATTCAAAGGATCTTCATATTTTCGTACAAATGTCCTAGTATATGTTTTGTGAAATTAAGTTTCAAAAGTTCAATGAACATACTGAACATTTCAGGCCAGAATGAGAATTTTTAACCTACAAATAAAAGTCATTATTTTTAGTGTTAAATTGTTGTACAAATTTCTGTCTGAACTTAATCATAACCATCTGCAGCTATTTTTGTTTAAACAAGGTACATAAAAAAAATGCTATTGTGTGTTTCTTATATTTAAATTGAAAAATACGCAATATTTAAGAAATTATTTTAAGCCATGAGGTCGTATGATGTTTAAATAAGTTCATGACTACTGTTCATAGTGGAATAGTGGCACCATATAAACAAAAGTGACTTTGGAGAAATGTCTCATTACACATTTTGAGTACAACCAAAGATTTCATATCACATCAAATCTTCTCTCTTCCTACATGTCTGTTAATTTGAATTTGGATTGCCAAAATTATCCATGATCTGCCAGACCAGTTATTTAATCAAAAGACCTCCTAATGATCGAGTAAAAGACATCAGTGAACTGAATAATCTTAAAAATAAAAATGGAATATGGCTTTTATGTTTATTTTGTGGGATGTTCTCACATAGCTTTCAAGGAGGTTTTTAAGTTTCTAGGAAGTATGGCAACCAAAGTCTTTGTTGAGTGTTTTCATATGCTACTGAGTGTAATTTATCTAATACAGAAATTGAATCTGCAGATGCATGTGAACATTTTGGTTTTCTCACCAAATGCAGAACTAATTGTGCATCGTGACCTAACTGAAGCTTAGTTTTGCTGTGTAGAATAATAGAAACTGTGCATAGAAAAGACGTTAAAATTTCCATTTTTTTTTCTGACAATGTAATATGTATAATAAACTTATGTCCTCAGACAGTACAATATATATAATCCTGCTAGTGCTTTGCCTTCTCCCTAGCTGGTTTGCACAGTATTGCTATACGTTCTTCTGTTGATAATCCATGGAGTTGCATTTAACTGTGTTTTGTAATCAGAGTTTGCATAGTAGTCAGCTCTTTCTTTCACTCTGGCTCACAGCAAGACATCAGTGAAGATGTCTGTATTTATGTCCTTTCAGTCTATGTGTACTATTTGTCTTGTTCCTTTTCTTAGGTAGCTTTTTCTTTCTTTTACAGTTTCCTCATAAATAAATTCCTCCTTTCCTGAAATGTCTGTGGTTTTTTTTGGGTGTCTTGAACTGCTTAGAATATTCTAGGTATTTTATTGCTTCAACTTCCATGACTTACCATCTGGTACTTCTGAAAATACAGCTAAATGTTGTTCTTTCCCACTTTCCCTCTATCTAATTTGGTACTTCCCCTCCCCTTACAAAATTACTTCTAGTATAGGACAGGGATTTTAGTTAGTGCTGATCAGCTATGGAAGAAGACTTTATGAATATTTTCAAAATAAAACACTGAACTGAATTTTTTTTTGTGTTTTAAAAGGGCTTTATATTATCTTTGTAACTGGACTAACAAGCTGATGTATTTCTACACACAGCTTCACAAATTTCAACATAATCTGTTCTTAATCAAAAAGCATGATGGAATACATTATTAACTGGTATTTTTAAAACCAAACTTTTGCCCTATCTTCAGTTAAACTAACACAGCTTTACTGACGATTAATACACCATAAATAGTAAATTTTTCAATAGAGTATTGTAATAACTGCTTTCTGTAGCAATATACTGGACGCGTATTTGGTCAGCTAGAGGAAGTGAGATTCTACTTTCGGGTGATGAGGGTGCTAGCATATGTGGAGAAAAGAAGTCTGAATGCTACACTGTGTGGGTGTTCATCTTGGAACATTGTGTCAGAAGTGAGTCAACTCTGGTGAAATCAGAAAGTAGCTATACTGGAAGAAAATGAAACAACCAAGAGGATACGCTTAGCAACTGGGCCTGCTTGAACTGTGGAATTTCAACAGCTTCAACACAACAACAAAAAACAGAGCTGGGGACAGAAAATAAAATTAGAGCTTTAACAGTGTTTAGTCAGCCTTTTAACTTAAGAATATCTGTAAAAGTCTAGAAGTGTGAGACAGTTTTGAATCATAAACACATTATATATAATGTGTATTTCCAACAGCTGTAACTTCTGGATAAACTACAGATCCCTTGTAGGAGACAAAATGGCTGTCTCATTCTCTGATCAAAACTTTAAAAGCAAGGTTGTGACTACTGATGGGATCAAATGAATCAGGACCTCAAAAGGGAATGCTCAGACTGCAGCAAAGCTTCTGAGAGCTTAGCTGCATGCAGAAGTTGCGGGGGGGGGGAGTGGGGAGGTGGGGTGGAACTCATGCAAATGGCAATGCAGAGAGCACCTACAGAGATGAAGATCAAAGAAATGCAGAGAGCTGTTTGCAGGTAGCGTACTCACCGAGCTGTTTTCATCCAAAGTACTTACAGTTAGATTGTCATAACCTTTACTTATGATGTCAGGGTGTGAAGAAGTTAAAGACTTCCTTTATTCCTATGCTTATTGCTGCTTAGATTATGATTTACAGAGATAACAAGAGCCAGGGGTTCTTTCTGTGCCTCTCCTCCTGTAAGCAAATGGTCAGAGAGAGGAAATGTCATCCTGCCTAAACCAGCCAAATCTAGCACACCTCTCTGCTCACCAGCTAGAATAGCTGCTCAGCAACAGTATAAGATACTCTACACCAAAAGGTACAGTGATGTAAGTCTCCACAGAGTGTGAAGGAATTGCAAATAAGTTCAGTTCTAGGCCCTTTTCTGTCACAGTGCAGTTCTGCCAGACAGCAATCCTTGCTTTAGGTCAATAATTCTAAGTAATTAGAATTTGTCACTTTGTCAGCATAAACAGGGGAAACTCACAGTGTTCCAGGAGCATTTTTCATAATAAGTTTATATTACTTCCAAATAAATCGATTTTTCTTGCATTGCCAATGGCTATGTCCATTTGTTAGCTGATAGAAGGATACTTAGAGGGAGACGGATTGGACTAACCATTCTTTGTTAATGGGAAACAATTACATTATGTATTCTTTGCCTTATTCCACCCCTCCATCTGTAATACAGCTTTTGTAAATGAAACAAGGAATAAAAAAGGAGAAGGTGAGACACTGCTAACAGTCAAATTGAAACCCATTCAGTGGTGCTGCATTTCCCTTAATGTCAGTAACTGCGGTTGCTTGGCAGACATTTTAAGCAGCAAGTTCTCTTCAGCAAAGCAGCAGCTGATGCACAGGAGGTGCCTGAAGAGAGTAAGTAATGCCTGGATCAACTTTAACCCTTTCTGCATGTTTTCTAACATTCCCTCCACATGCATTTAGTAATTTATGGGGAGAGTCCAGTCTGAGAAAGAATTGCGGTATTTGACCCCC